GTCACCAACAACGTGAGCCTCGTCACCAACAACGTGAGCCTCGTCACCAACAACGTGAGCCTCGTCACCAACAACGTGAGCCGGGGCTCTGAGCCGTGGCCAGGTGGGAGCCACAGTTCCACAGCAAGCACCCGGGCTTCTCTGCCGTAAGGGACACTGACGGACACTTCAGCTTGGGCCTCCTGCTGTGACAGGAAGTGGAGGGAAAGGGTCTCACAGCCACCGCACCAGAGACAAAACACTGCCACGATCTCTTGAGACACAAACGAGACCCACGTGCTCGGGCAGAGGCGTCAGAGTGTCACGCAGGGAGCCGAAATGGGGACGAGATGCCATGCGTGTCAGTGCGCACGTGCGCACGTGTGTGGTGTGTGCATGCGTGTGTGCCGGTGTGTCCGGACGCACACATGTGTCAGTGCGGACGCGCATGCACATGAGCGTGTGTGTGCTCGTGTGTGCTTGAACGTACGCCTGCACAGTATTACGAGTGTGCCTGTGTGCGCGTGTGCATGCACGGTGTGAGCGTGCACGGTGTGCGCACAGATGAGTGTGTGCCTGTGTCTGTGAGTGTGTGCACAGCATACACTGTGTGCGCGTGTGCATGCCTGTGAGTGCGTGTACGAGCCCGTGTGCGTGGGAAACACACAAGGACATGATGCACTGTGTGTGCCCGTGAGTCGTGTGCATGTGACTGTGCCTGTGTGTGCACACTCGTGTGTGTGCGCGTGTGCTGGGTCCGCTTTGCAGGGAATGAGGAAAAGCCAGAGAAGCAGAGACGGCCTTTGGCAAACCAGCAGAGGGAGGAGCCGAAAGGTCCGTGGGCTGAGATCCACAGGTGACATTGTGATTCTGTGGACGTTTTTAAGCCCCCAACAGCCATGGAGAATAAAATGGAGGAAAAACTCACTATGTGCCGGGCCACGAACACGCCGTCCACGATGGCGCAACAGAAGGCTGCCACCACGCCGAAGCTGACGAACACGATGGCCGCGACCAGCTGGGGCAGAGGACAGAGAAGCGGGTGGACGTCACATGCTCCCGACAACCAGGCTGCCGGCACACACTGTCCAAAGCCCCTGCCACCGGCCTTCCGGCCTCTCCCCCACACACCCCTGCCCGACTCAGCCGACCCAGGGGGCTGGGGGCCTCTCTCCCCCACACACCCCTGCCCCGACTCAGCTGACCCAGGGGGCTGAGGGCCTCTCTCCCCCACACACCCCTGCCCAACTCAGCTGACCCAGGGGGCTGCATTCTTTCCAGTTCTTCCACGTTGTAGATGGGGACCTTCTGGTGCCGGGGTCCTCCGCACGCGCCCCATGAATACACAGATTATTAAATGGTCTGCAATTTTGTGCGATTACAAACTCTGTGACAAAGACCCTGAGTACATTCCGCATCCATAGCTGGTTTTCCGTGAGGGACTCTCCGCAGGACGGGCCCGGAACCCACAAGACCCCACCCGTTCAGGGAGGACACACCGGGTCTTTGCACCTCGGCGTCGGAGAAGGGGCACTTGTCCATAAAAGAGGCTCTGCCAGTTTTTACTCCAACTGTCTAGCACCGGTGTCCCCAAACCAAAAGATGCTTCCTCTTAGTACCCGTTCGGATGCTGCCATTAGAGGGCGAGCAGGTCGCTGGATTTCCACTTGCATTTCCACGCGGCTGGGAACCTTTTCTTGCATTTGTTGGACATTTCTGTAAACTCTTAGAACGTTTTGTGGAATAATTTTAAATGGACCGAAACAAGGAGCACAAACGGTGTGAAGAACCCCCGGTCATGCCTGCAGCTCCGCAGTACTCACGCCACCAGCACCGCAGCCCAGCCCTGGCCGGTCACCCCTCAGCGAGCACGGCTCCCACACCAGCCGGCGGGTGTGTGCGTGGACTGGGTCCAGGGCTGCGCCTCAAGCGAGCGAGAACGGCAGAGCTGGGACCAGGCCACGGCGTTGGGGGGACCAGGCCGCGGCGTCGGCGGGATCAGGCCGCGGCGTCGGGGGGACCAGGCCGCGGCGTCGGCGGGACCAGGCCGCGGCGTCGGGGGGACCAGGCCGCGGCGTCGGGGGGACCAGGCCGCGGCGTCGGGGGGACCAGGCCGCAGCGTCGGCGAGCGGCTCTCTGGCTCTCAGCCTGGACGTGGGCTCGGGGCTGCTTCCCCAGGTTGTCCGTGCGTTTGCCCTGCTGTGGCACGGGCGGTTTCAGGCGGGAGTCAGGCCACCGGCCGCTGCTGCACGGGGCCTGCGCCCTCTTCACCCTTGTCAGCCTGAATTATTTATTTGTCCAACAAAGCCCAGGCAGCCAGTGTGAAATGCCACCTGCTTGACCCTCCAGGGCACAGAGCGGGGGCGGGAAGGCCACTCAGGGGCCGGGGCGATGACCAGCTCTGTGGCTCGCCCTGGACCCCAGCCCCGCCAGCACCAGGGGAAGTGGTCCCCTGACTTCGCAAGGGCCGGTGAGCTGGTGACTGTCCGGTCCTCAGTTTCCCCATCTGGAGACAGAGGTGCTGGCCCCGACTCACTCTTGCCCGAACAGGCCCTTCCGGAGCGCATCCTTGGACTCTGTCGAAGACGTGAGGGAGCCGAGGTCGCCGGCTCGTCCCCACAGTCCAACATTGCTGACAGTCCATGACGAACTGACTGAAGGCCCCATGGCGGGGGAGCGGGGGGCGCTGGGGAGCGGGGCGTGCAGAAAGCACTGCCCACTGTTCCTCCAAACAACAAAGAACTGTGAAACCGTGGCCCAGGGCGGTGCCCAAACCAGCTCTCCTGCAAACAGCTTCATCACAACAACCAGGCCGTCTGCCCGCACAAGGGCTGCCCACCCAGCAGGGGGCCCGTGAGGACCATGGCGCGGGGGGGGGGGGGGGCTGCGCCGTCGCCCCGCTGACCCTGCAAGGTGGCCAGAGGCAGGAGTGCCTCCTTCGTCCTGGTGGGACGGGGAAGCCCCATGGCTTCATCCTTGGGAAACTCCTGCACACAGTGATCAGGTTGGGAAAGTCCCTGGCACGTCGTCTGCAGAAGTTACCCAGCACCAGACTTCCCTGTGTTCGCATTGCTGTTGTGAAAAAGTGCATTAAAACATCAAAAAAGAAACAGCCGGCAGTTTCCAAGTTTCCTGGGAGGGAGGCCAGGCACCTCGTTTCCCAAAATACATAAATGAATGAATGAAAAGCACCTACTTTGACGGCTGGGCCCTCGAGCTTCCTGCTCTGCCTGCCCGGCTGGTCCCCGAGCGATATGGCCTGGCCTTGCCCAGCTCAGGCCTTCAGGGAGGACAGGCTGATCTCCTCCTACTGGCCCGAAACCCGAGGCGGCCCAGCCCCGTTCAGCATTGGGCCCCATCCCTGGCTCCTGCTCCGGGGGCAGCTTTGCTGCTCCCAGCGACAGACCCCGTCGGAAAGGGGTCACCACGTCCCTTGGGGCTAGTCCCCGGCCAGGAGCCTGAGCATGAACAGTGTCTCCTTCGAGCTCACAGGCCGTGAGCACGTGTGTCCATCACGTCCTGACAGCTATGACCTTATGGTCATCTGCAGGGTAGGCCAGCCTCCCTGCAATTTCAGGAGCTTGGGACACAGCCCCATGCCCTCCACCGGGCCTCCCAAGCAGCTGTGGTCTCGGAAGGGGGACACCCTGGACTACACAGGCCACACAGCCACGGCGTCAACTCTCTTCCCGTGGCATCCTCCCCGCTTCTGCGTCTGCATCCCTCAGCCCCAACCATCCCCCAGGCCACTCTGGGGTCCTCAAGAAGCCGGACTGTCCCCAGTGACAACACTCCTAGAGTCCGGTGGGGTCTGGGGACAGCCTGGCCGCTGGGCCCTCGTCGGAAGTGGGTGCCCCCACCTCGTGCTCCCACACTGGGCTCAGGTGCCGGCCAGTACATCCACCAAACACTGGCCACTTGTCTGAGAAGCTTTCAGAAGCGGCCCGCGCCTGACCACTGGCAGCCGCTACATATCACCACGGGCATCGCCAACTCCCCAGCGAGTTCCTCTTGTACAGACTCAGCAGCCCCCGGAGGAGGCCACACTCCACGTCCTGCCATGGGACCGGCTGTGACCCCGCGGTGGCTCAGTGACCTCCCACGACATCTCTGCCCAGTTCCACCGAGAACATGCAGGGCACCCTTGGCCGTGTGTGGCTGCCCTCGGCTGTCCGCCAGCAGACACCTCTGGTCAGCTCTCCCACAAACTGCCCCGTCCCTTGAAGGCTCTCATCAGCTTCGACTGGCCCCACCTTTCGCCCACTGCCCTCACAAAGTCACTGCCCCGACCAGCATCGCGCTCCACACCACATGGGGCCACTGCACAAGCACTCGGCACGGGGGCCCCGAGCCCACAAGGACAGAGGTAAACACTCAGCACGGGGCCACGAGCCCGGGAGGACAGGGGAGACGGGCCTCACCACCCCGGTTCCCCCACCTGGAAGAGGGGAAGGGCAGCTCTGGGCTTGCACAGTTTACATGACAACAGGGAAGCCAGACTGAAAACCGAACACCAGTGGATAAAGTCGTGTTGATAATGCGGGAGAAAGAGAAAAAAGTGGGTGCGAGCTTGTCACCTGTCGTGGACAGGCCTCTTGTCCGGGGCACGAGACACACCCAGGGATGCCATGGGGTCAGGTCTTGCTGGGCCAGCGGCGCTCTCAGGAGGGTCTGTGAAGGCCGGCCTTGGGGCCTAAGAGCCCTCTATTTGCAGGGGGTGGAAGGGAGCAGGTGGGAGGGCTCGGCTAACCCCCGGGACGATGACCCCGGCAAGTGAAGACCAGGGTGGGAACTGGTGTGGAGCAAGAGGCTGGTCTGCAGGTGATACCTGTAG